GCCTTATCTGCTGACAATTTCGTTGTTATTTTTGTACATGCATAGATACATCCAGTCCATGAAGGTCCCCTTTGGCACAAAGTGGCCATGAAAACTAGAAATAATGTCTCAGGGGGAATGATCCATGTGGAGAGCTAAAAGTAACCCGAAATGAAAGAGTAGTACAGTCGCTAAATAAACTATTTATCTGCAATTACTCCTGATTGAACCTGGTCGTTCTCTCGCGAGATCCTTTTCTTACTGTAGGGTTTGTGAGTCGGTTGTCATGTGACCTTACCAGCGGAGAAAGTGAGGAGACACCTGCTTTTTACCCACCTGTGCTGTAGTTTACCACCCCCCCCTCCCCCAATCACCCTTCATAGCTCAGAATACCAGGGACCACCCAAGGTCACTGTATCTCTATGAAAACCCTCCATGTCTGAGTTTCTTGCACTGTCTATGTATCACTAACATGTTTAGCACACCAATGGATCTTACATACGCCCTAAATGACATTTTCAGTTGTCTGTAGAAGCCAATTTTAGATAAGACTTTATTTATAAATAACACACACCCGTATTTTATTTTCAAGTTAACGATGACTTGCAGTCGCTGTAAGACGTCATAGCGTCACATGCGAATGCAACTCTTTGCTGCCCCCTGCTGGTCGACGATCTACTTTACTGGACCAGAAACTCACGCAGGATTTCTGCTCTGGGCACTTAAAGGACTCTAAAAACTGAATAATAATAATAATAATGATAATTTCTCCATGACAAAAATGTAAGAGACAGTAAGTTTGGCAGTGAAGGGCAGCCACCTACAGCAGCACCCATGGAGCTGGGGGTTAAGGGCCTCGCTCAAGGGCCCACAAACATTGTGACTATTCTGCAGAGACCAGTCTTGAACTGGCAACCTTCTGATCACAGGCACAGAAGCTTAGTCTGCAATCTTTAATAGTACAGGGAGAGGATAATTAATCTTTTTCCTCAATCCCCCACTTAATAAGCGCGGTTTTATTTAAAGTACTATAGTAAGTTATGCTGAGCGGTGTGTGAAATATTATGGCTAAAAGAAAAAAATCTATAAGCAGCAGTGTTGAAGAACACATGACCCCACAGCTCCCATGATGCTCTCGTCCACTGCCTTAGGTTTGCTTCACAACCACAGAAGAGGGTGCTGTTCATTCCATCCCTCGCAGAGCCCCCACAGGTGTCAGATCACCAGTAGGTGGCGCTGAAGTCTGACGACAGGGAGAATTTTGCCCCACGGATGAGTAATTCAGGAGAGCCAGGTTTAAGCTTGGAGGTCATTGTGATCATCTTTAATTTGAAGTGTGTCATGTTGACTTACTTTGTGTGTGATGAAGTGGGAAGGGCATCATTACTCATCATTTAGCTGTGATTATATTGTTGTACATGTCAACTTCTTGCCAAGTACACTATGTTCAGTTTGTTTTTCTCTAGGGTTGTGGCCATGCTGACAGTGACATACAGGTAGGTGTGAGTAAAATTCAAAGAAATCTTCACCACGCTGCTGAGAGTAAAGCCAGTTTCCTCTCTGATTAACTTTCCTCTCTGCAATATGCGGACAGAAAGAATGCAATGTTCATTGCATTGTGAAGCACAGCATTAGAAAATGAAAACAAACTTGCACTTATGCTCTTTTTTTTTAAATTACTTTGGAATGTAGGATGTCTGCCGCAACTGAGCACAGGCTGAGATGAGGAGGGGACTCTGCTGGCAAGGCATTCTGGGTACTGGGCCTGAACAGCGTCTATAACCATGCTCGCTTAGTGGCAGAATCCCCACTGAGCTGTGCTGAGATCCAGGAAAAGCAGCAGGAGTGACCTTGCACACAATGCGCAAGCAATTTCTGGGGAACAAATGAAGGACACGGGAGACAAAGGTTTTGCACTGTCTGCCTGCTCATCCCTGGTGAATGACATCACTTCCTGTTGAAAGCTCTGATTCAGGGGGAGAGACATAGAGAGTAAGGCATGAGTGCACGACCTGGGGAGCCAGTTTCATACCTGTTTGAGTACATGTGCAGTGACACAGCTCCTTCTGTGGGCTGCCCACACCTTCTTCCTGTCTGTGTAGATTTTCCTCTAGCTTCTGTTTAGTCACCATATTACCTGAAGGTCTCCTTAAGTAGGTGTGTGTACATGTGTGCACTGTGCTTAACTGGCAGCCCATGCAGGCTGCTCTACAGCAGGCATAGTGATCCCAATAGTATCAAGGGGTTAATAAAGGCGGATGTGTGTAATTACCGAATCCGTCCATAAGATGGAACTGTTTAGTTGATTTTTCTCACTGGCAAGTTGGCAATGTATTAAACGTCGGCTTACAATGTCTGTGATTCTCTTACCCTTTTGCGATGATTATTTCTGTGATGTTGCCTTTCTAGATGAGTATTGAAACCAGTGAAAATCACTCCTGCATCACTCTTAGTTAATTGTTTTCTGTTTTGTGGTCACACACACAATTCCTTTTTTTCCCCTAAACAGCATAACACCTATGTCACTTATCCTTGGATTTCCTTCCGTAAATGCCTGGAGTTCCCAAGTCGCTCCGTAACAGGAAGCAGAATCCGATAAGTGTTCAGGCCAGGATCCAAAAACAGGATATCAGGATAGGCAGGCTGGAGTCATTTGGGTGGAGCTTATCCGCGTTCTACTAGTTACAGGGGGGCAGCCCCTCCCCAGCCTCCTCTGTTATACACTGGGACTTTGACCCCATTATTGTGTCTGATGAAAGTCATAAGACTCTGAGAGGAACACACAAGACTGGCTGGTTTGCTGATCTGTGGTTCTGACTTTTCCGTTTTATGTGCTTGGCCTGTGTAACAGTGCCAGCCATAGTCAGACCACTCTAACTGTTTTTCCCCAGCCCACCCCCACGTGACCTGTCACATCACCTCCATGATCACATGACATGAGCTAATGAAGTCCCGTATTCATATGTGTGAAACCTCGGCATTCCTGAGTGTGCGAGGCCACCGCTGTGCTGAGGCTGTCTCATCTATATCTTTCTGCAGGGATCCGATCCCTCGTTATCTGGGCGGACTGACCTTCCTGGTGCGGCTTCCCAGACGGAGCAATAGGGAAGCCCACCCCTGCTGAAGTGGATTTTTTGTGAACAGGCGTGGGACATACAGGACTGTTAACACAAAAAAAGAAGGAAAGGGAACGGTTATGCTGTATTAGCGTGGAAGGAAGTTCAAGAAATTATTAAATAATGATTAAATACAGTGTCTGGAACCTTCTACCCTTTCAGAAAAAAAATTACATTTATTTTTAGACGTGTTAATGCGGATGAGCAGTGCAGTGTTTCAAAGGGAGCGGGATCGGGGAGTGGCCCCGTGGAGTCACGGCCCAAATGCAGGGTATTCCGTTGCTTTCGGCCCTATCAGCGTTTTGTTGCCAGGCAGGTGACCGCGCACGCTGTCAGTGGGGAAATTCTCTCCTCCTGCTCCCTCCCCCTCCAGGGTGCGCATACACTACCCTCGCCGCCGATTTTGTGTGTATCCAAGGCGACTGACGCATGACTCACCGGCTAATGCAGCCAATCGGAGTGTCCCGGCCCCCCGGCCCCCTCCCCGGCGTCCCGGCTGGAAGTTCCTGCGGAATTCTCCCTTAAAGGGTCTGACTACAAAGTAACGTAATGCGTGGCAGAGCCAGCCGTGGGGCGGGAGGACTCTATCACACAGAGAGTCCCATCACCTCTTTCAGATATAAAAACAAATGTCTTTAATGCATCATAAGCAGTGAATTAAACTTGATCCCTTCCTCTGAAAAAAGTAAAACGAATTCATACTGTATTGACGTCAGACTTACGATAGTTATTACTTATGATGGGAATATAAGCTAAATCCTTGATTTCACGGGAAGGTTCAACAAGACGGGATGCAAAATGACTGGGCTCGGTTTGGTGACCAGGTTCAGCACGACATTTTCCGGATGACAAATGCACATCAAAGTGACTGTCATCACCCCGCTTCGTCACACCTCCATTCCAGTCGAGCAACGTAACCCAGTCATGCGTGTTTAATTCTGGTGACGGCATGTTTGGGCACCGGTTTGGAACCGGGCAGGCGCTTTAATACAAGGGCAGAGAGTGGTGGCGCCTTTCCCTTTAAATGCATGCTTTCTGGCCCGGCGGCTCCGCCCGGCACCACGCTGCTTTGGGTTTACAGCTGTCTCGCCGCGCCCTGGGAGCCGTGCCATCCATATTTACTACCTTTTGATCTGCAAGGCAGTTCACGTCAATGAGTCGTCGACATAATGTTATTTGTTACGCTTTGAGCCAACTCCCCTCCTTACACCCCCGAAGGTATTTGCAAAAACTGCGGGAAAAGAGACAGATGGCTTTAGACTCGTTTTAAAGAGACAGTCATTTTTTAAAGATATGCTCTACCTGTGCTTTCAATTCTCGTCTCCCGGTAAAGGCTAAAAAACGCTGGGTTTCAACACCTGGGGTTGCACAGAGCGATGCGCCGAGACAGCGGGCCGGCCTCTCCATGCTAATGAGCCGCGCTGGCTGCTGCCCATGTGTGCAGACGCCATGCCTTGTTGTTCCGATCGGCGATTGGCTCGCGGAACATCAGCATGTTTTAATCGGGCACACGTTGGCTGCAGGGCAGGGCTGCCCCCAAAACATGGCGTTAGGATTCCCACGCTCCTTATAACGTGTCACTCCACTGCATGCAAACATTTAAAAAATATTTCCTTATAATGACGGTGACCTCCGCATATATTTGTATTCGTGTTACGTCGTCATTTTGCAGACATAAAATTTACAATGGCACATTTTCTATAAGGTTGCACTAATATGTTCGTCCAGCACTTTTCGCAGTGCAATTTTTAAAAACGGTTTTCACCAAAGTATTTATTGTGAAAGAAATGTTTAATCTCGAAAACTCAGTTCAGAAGTAGACACGGATCTCTTCTCCGTGTTTTGGGTCAACCTGTAGTATGTGGGAGGAGATTTGCAATGTATGGGCGGTCTTAATCCATCCGCTTTTTCCCTTGTTGTGTTTTCTGTCATTTGCATCGCCATCTTGTTGCAACCCCTCTACGTGTTTGGACGACGTCTTACGAGGGGATTCAATTACGTTTCCACCCTTTGCACCAACGGGAGAATAGCACTGTGCGAACGGCGAGTGAGAGGAGCGCTCCTTGTGAAAATCTACACATATTTACTCGCAGAAACAACTTCCACCATCGGCAGAAAAGGAAGATGAGTATCGAAACGCTTTTAGAAGCTGCCAAGTTTCTGGAATGGCAATCCCAGCAACAACAGAAAGCACGTGGTAAGGAGGGGACGGGGACCCGGGCTGTTGAAACAACGTTGAAATCAAGGGTCCGACAGCGTATCCCGTTTGAGATTTGGCGATTAGCATGCTTGAATCAGCCTGATTGTGAAAATCAGCCATATTCTGGATTCCACTGACACTAGATAGTTTAGAACATTTTGCACATTTTATTTCTTAAAATGTGCAAATATATTTCTTGTGCAAAATGAATTTATTTCTGTTTCTGACCCTTGGGATGAGCGTGGTTAAATTTCTTTACGGATGCATTTCGTTCCATTTGGCGGTATGTGTAGGTCTGCCGCAGCAACTTGCAAGGTTAGGTGAATAGTGAGTTGCGTTCCTGGGCACGGTGGCGTTGTGGAAATCGGATTGTGTCGTGGTGCCCAGCTGCGTGCGAACGATTTGTTAATGGTGTTCTTTAGTTTCAGATGGTCAAAGTAACACCATCTGGGGAAGGTATAATATGCTTCCTTGTTACCGTCGTGTTTGATTTCCAAGTGCGTAGCGGACCTAAAGGGTTATTCCAAGTCATAAACTCAAATAAGCTGTATGCTGTATATCGTAAAATAGCATAGCGTCTGCTTAGATAGTCGTTTACATGCCTGTCTGTATATTTATTTTCTGTATTAGGGATTTAGAAACTAATACTCGCTATAAAGGGCGGTGGCAAAACACGAGATACGTGCCAGCCCTTTTTTTACATAATGACCTGACATAGCCGGGTATCATATGACGTGCAATTTAAGCCTACTTCCCTTTCGGTGGAGTAATCGTGTTTTCAAACTTGCTCCTGCATATTTGCGGAAAAAAAAACAAGTAGCGTGACTTGCATTTAGATGTTTTACTTTTAAGTTCCCACTTATTTATTAGTATGTACATTTTCTTTCCGATGAATATGTAGTCGCTTGAACGGTTTTTTGTTAGTTCGCTGGTGACGTGTCAGCTGAGACCACGCCCCCTTTAGAAACCGCGTGCGTGAGGCCCTCCCTCCCTACCACGTGCGCGCCAGGCGCTCGTGCCAGACTCTGGGCGGGTGTTTTTTTTTCCCCCTCCTCCTTCCGCGAGCTGACTGGCGCGGGTCGCGGCGCGAAGGAAACTGGGGCAGCTTCTCCTCGGCTTCCCCTCCGGAGGAATGCGGCCTTTATGTAACCGGCCGTTCCCTCCGTCCCGCCGGGCCACCCGAGCCCCGCTAAACAGTGCGAGTCGGTACCCGTACCCCCAGACTGTTGATGCTACAGCTAAATATGGGGTCAGATGACGGACGTGTGTGATGTGTGCTGCGGAGAGAACTGCTTTTTACCCGTGAAATAAAAACATTGTTCCAGTTAAACCACACCCAGATAACCTGTCTGAGCTTTTGGGTTCGATTATCGTCAAAGTAAAAGGGTTAACTGGAACAGAGCTGAACTTGGGCGAATGGTATCCCTGCGCCGACTGCATCGACCCGCGGTCACGGACTTTACTGTCCGGCTCGCGGCTTAGACTGTGACACGGTTAGGCTTCCTACGGGGCTGCTGGTGCGTGCCGAGTCATCCCGCAGCTGGCCGCTGGCCACGGTGACGTCAGAGGCAGTCACCTTCTGTCATTCTCCGCTGCTGTGTGTCTGTCAGCCCGGTGTGCATCGCGGAATCGCCGGCTCTGCGCAGCCTGTTTCGGGAAGTCGATGACAAGCGATGTTCATGTTTGTCAAAGAAACGCGTCTGACCTTTAAACGCGGCCCAGGAAGGCGAGGAATGGGTGCAGGAGGGTGTGCGCGCGCGTGGCTGCCCCGGCCCTTTGCCCCCCACTAAACCGTCCGATTGTGCTGTCACTAACTCCTTTTGTGAAAGATAATCTTATAACAACAGAAGTCTCCTCTTGGGTCGTGACGTTCGCGGGGGACCAATAATTGTGCTCATTTTTCTTATGGAGGAGCTGATTTTATTTGTATACTAATTTCCTTTAATGATGGGTTTGTGTAAAAACACTATAGTTAACTTGCGTAAGCGTTCATTTCGTTCGATTGGTGGTACATATTTAATTTTATTTTGATTTTCTAATGCAGCACCCTTATCCAGGCACGTGAGAAATGTTTATCAGGTATAATAATGCGTAACACCATCAGGTTGATCTAATGTGGGTTTTTGTTGACTGCATCACCGTTGTCTCTCTGCTGTTTTCTGTCAGCTGCTCAGACTAGAGGTGATGAGAGCTTTTCACCAGCTAGGTCAACCTCTCTGTCTGAGAGCTAGGTGGCACATATGTAGGTGCTGTCTCATACCCCATGAATCCCTCCCTACAATAAGTCTAGTGCTCATACACAAGCAGATTAAAGGCTTGCACGCTGTTAAAGTAGCCCCTGGGGGGACAGGCTCCCCTCTGCCTTGTTCTGATGTTTGTTTCCATGGAAACTGGACAGTCGCCCCGCTCCCCACCACAAACTGCGCAAACTCTCCCGCAGCCGGTAAACTTTCCCCGTATGACACTGAGGGACGTTCTGCACTGCGACTGGCTGGAATCTTGAGATTTTACACGGTGTCTTGTTGCTCACTTGCAGGGATCTTGCGGGACAAACGGGTGCATAGAGTGTGCTTTGTTGGGGGGGGGAGGTCAAATCTGTCACCTCCGAGTACTCAGACACTTGTCCCTAATCCATCAGTGGCTGTACGGCTTTTGCTTCGAGTGCTGATGTGTGGAATTTGAGTGAATGGGAATCCAGCACAGTCTCCTGCAGGAAGTCAGTCCATCCCTTTTTCCGCTAGTGAGCCATAAACCCCCGACCCTTTTTCCTGTCTACAAGCAGAGCGCACAAGCCCCCGCCCGGCGTGATAGCAGGAATACCCATGATGGCCTTGCAGCCTTGCGTGCTGAATCTCCAGTCTTGATTCACCACTGAGGTTGCTGTGTGAATTTCTCGGACACGCCCACCCCCCCCCCATGCCTCTCCTGCGGTCTCCCTCTGTACCTCCCTGAGCTCCTGGAGGGGAAACTGGCCCTGCTCAGTGCTGCTAGCTCCAGCCCCCGCAGAAAGCGTGTATGTAGTATATAGGTAGAATGTTGCCCTGAACAGGGGGTCTGAGAATAGTAGATCTGTGGTGAACATGCTCTGAGGCTTTGCTGCAGGTCTACGGACATGTTTGGCTCCTCCCCGCACTGATGAGCAGCGAGTCATGTGGGTCGACTCCCGGAACAGGCTGCGGTTCTGCCGTGTCTCCATATTGCAGTTCACCTTTCCAGCCTGACTGCAGCAAAGCAAGTTCTCGTGGATGCAGCCAATCTGTCTGGCCCCCGGAATGATGCTCCCCCCCCCGGCCAATTCTTTTAACTGATAAAGCATATTTAAATGCCGGACCTGTAGGTAGCCTAAGCATTATGGTGTTTCCAGGTTTGGTGTGTGGTGTTTCCGAGCCTTAACTAGTGTTAACCGGGTAAAAGGTTCACCCAAAATTAACCTTGAGCAGTGGGCCAGGAGGTGGAGTTGTACCACTTTATGGCCAATGGGGGAGCAGTAATGTCAATGCCCGCCTTGTTTTCCCCTTCCTGTTGTATATGAAGGCTTCTCCTCGCAGCAGCACTGTGGAGGTGCCCCACCTGTATCATTGAACGGGAAAGGGTCGGCCTTCAGATCTGCACCCGCAACTTCACCCCCTTTAGCGCTCTCCAGAACTGTGGCTCTGTATTCCTCATTTTATGCTTTTTTTTCACTTGCCCACTTGTAGTTTCATGGTAGTGAGAAAGGGGGAACTGTTTCTGACAAACACTGACCCCATTGTTACTGCATCTCCTGGAAGGGCGGGGCCTCGGGGGGATGATGTGACCATTGCTGATGTTCTGTAGGTTGCTTTTGTGAGGGGTGTGTGACAGTCCCGCCTTTGGACCAGAAACTGCCGTCTTACTGTCCTCTGATTGGTCCTTTTTTCGAATAAGGGGCGGGGACTTGTGACGCTTTTTTTTTTTTTTTTTTTCTCCCGCAGAGGAGAGCGAGCTGAAGGAGAAGCTGAGACTCGAACGAGAGGCTGAGCAGAAGCGCACCGAAGTCGTTTCCGCCCTGCAGCCTCTGCGGCTCAACCACGGGCCCTATGGGGAGGAGTTATGTGCAGAGCCCCACCCCCTCCCAGTTCCGCCCCGCCCCCCTCCGGTGTCCATCGCGGTCATACCCATTCCCATGATGTCGGCTGGTCCGGTGGTCCCAGCCCTGCCCCTGGCTCCGCCTCCGACTGGTGCCGCTCTGTCTCCTTCCGCCGTATCCCGTCCCAGCCCCCCCAGGAAGGACGCCCCCTCCCCGCCAGCACAGCCGCCACAGCTCCCGCAGCGCCTCCTCTTAGCCTCGCAGTTGAAGGTTGAAGCTGCATCTTCACCTCAGGCAGGAGCCCCCAAGCAGGCTCCACCCCCACTCGTCCAGCCATACCCCGGCTCCATCATCACCGCATCCCAGCATGCTCTGCTCCCTCAGCCGGCCCCCCTGCCAGTCCAGCCCAACCCAGCGGTGCGGCTGAATGCCATGGAGGACTCGCGTCACCCGGATGGAAAGAGGAGGCCGGGGGGGTAAGTGCCTTCAGAAGTTTGACGGCTTCTCGTCTGATGAGAACCTCCTGGTTGGGTGGGTAAGGTGCTGTGCTATTGTCCATGGGTCATGTGACGGTAGGGGGCGGAGCTTCCCGGCCTGCTGGGCTCGGTGTAATACGAGCAGCTCCATGACGGACAGGGCTCACATCTTGTTCTGTGGGTCTCCGTTCTCACGCCCTGTGGAGAAGGGCTGATCCCTTTGCTGTGATCTCTCCCCGCAGGGCTGGGACCAGGGAGGTACATAACAAGCTTGAGAAAAACAGGTGGGTGAAGCCCTCTGTTCTGTATCCGGCAGGCGGAGCCGGGGGGGGGGGTCTGGGGGGGGCAGTGTGCGACCGGGGGAGGGAGGCCTTGCAGCAGGGGGCGACTCTCCGTGACCGTGAAACAGGCCGGAAGTTACCTGGGCCGTTTCCCCCTTGCAGAGGAGCTGAGGCTGGTGTGAGGTGTTTGATAAGGCCGGAGTGAAACACCTTACTGGCCACCCACAGAGCCCCTGGGACGCGCTCGTTAGTTATGAGTACCTCGTTATATTGATGCGTAATTAACTTGTATTGCCGGTGGTGATAGCTGGGCCAAGCTGACGTGCTGCTCCTGTCCTTCCCTCACCCCCCTCCCCTGTCTCACCCCAGACGTGCACACCTGAAGGAGTGCTTCGAGACTCTGAAGAAGAACATCCCCAACGTAGACGAGAAGAAGACCTCCAATCTGAGTGTGCTGAGGAGCGCACTGCGCTACATCCAGGTGCTGCTCTTCCCCTCATTAGTGCATCACTTACTCTGGGTGCATCCAAAATCGCACACTTACTCAGTACTTACTGAGTCTCGTCAGAAGCCTGCTACTCAACTGTTGCAGTATGTACTATATGTATGCATGAAAATCAGTATGCATGCGCTCGGTCACACTGGGGTCACCATCTTGCAAATTACCTGACCTGGATGTTTACCAATGATATAGTTTGACCCCCATGAAAGCTAAAGACTGGTAGAAACTAAATACAAAACGAAGCATATTCAAGTCAGCTAGTGTAACTCCGTATCATTTTCTACTTAAATTTGTACAGAGGTGGCGCTTCCTTCGCCATCTTGACAAAATTTTTGAGCAAATGATGTTCTTCATCTCTGGGTGCCGCTTCAGTGGCCTTGTGGGATAGCATCCATCGGTTGCACAACTTGGAATTTTGCAGAATGTAGTACGTTAACCTGACCACAGTACCACAGTGCCACTTCCTCATCCATACTGAGGATTCAGACATACTGTTCATGTCGCATACTATATTTTGCCTGCTACATAGCAGCCAAGTATGCAATTTCAATTGCACCCTGTAACCCCCCCCCTCCCCAATTACCCTGTGGGGGTTTTCTCTCAGGTTACGAAGCTTCCCCTCCTCTTGGTTGCGCTGACTCCTCTTAGCAGATGTTGTTAAGGTGCCATCTCCTACCACCACCCAAACCTGTGCCCAGGTCTCCACCCTAGGACCTTTGGCTAAGCCTCTGTTCGCTCTATCCTGTGTTGTTTGGGTCTCCAATCTCATGGGCTGCGATGCCCCTCCTGCTCAACTTATGCCGTCGTTTTGGGGAAGTGAAGTCAGTATCTGAGCGATATCTGAGGGTGCGTCCGAAATTGCGTACTTGCACAGTAGGTATTGAATTTTATTAAAAGCTTACTACTTGACCATTAATGCAGACTGCAGTATGTACTGTGTTTTTAGTTGGAGACACTGGCTGGGTCGAAATTCAGGGGCTGCATCCTTCGAAGGATGTCATCTGTGTAGCCTTTGTAGGCTACATTCTTCGAAGGTCCATGCAGTGAATCTTGGGATATGTTGGGCTGCCAATGATCCAATAGGTGGATCCTTTGCAACTCGACAAAAGAAGGAAATGTTTCTAGACCGCATTTGAAGGAGCCTTCAAAATGGGGCAGCCTCGTCTCGTCTTTGAATGCAGCCTTTGAAGGATGCAACCCCTGAATTTGCCTACCATTTCATCTATACTGAAAATTCAGACATACTGCTCACGTCACATACTATAATTTGCCAGCTACATAGCGAACAAGTATGCAGTTTTGAATGCACGCTGAAGAGTCTGCGTGTCATCTTGATTCTTAAGCCGGACGGCTTTACTGGTTCCTGCGAGGACTGACAGGGTCCAGTAGCTCAGGTTTCAACTTCCGTTTACACGGAATATTCCAGAAAATACCTCTGCTTTTAAGGGAAATATTTATAGGTCTGCACATATCTCTGCAATCCTGACCTGAAAAAACAAGTGGTTAAAAGATGAATGTGTAGCTGGATCTGTACTAATGTCTCTGCTGTCAAAGCCTTTATTTAACTCTCAGCTTCATCGGTTTGCAGTGATTGCTACACAGAGCTGTGTGCGTGTCTTTGTGCAGTGCTTATTATGGGTTGGCTGCATTGTGCGGCCTGCGTAGATGAGCCCTGCAGCCTTTAGCAGGGCAGCCAGCGGGTGTGGTTTGAGGGCCGTGGAGTGAAGTGTGGGCCAGCAGACCCCGGGAGGCGTCCCGCCAATCGCCAGTTGGTTCCCCCGCTCCTCTGTGGAGTTGACGTTTGAAACGAGGTCAGCTGGCGGATGTGGAGCAGTGAGCACATGGCGCGTTTGAGGTGGGGGGGGCATCGGCGTCCTGGCTGGACCTCCTGAGACTGTAAACAGGCAGGCGGCTTGTTCTTAATGTGACGCCTGGCTTCCCGGTAAAAAGGTCAGGCGCTGTGGACTCTGACATTGTTGATTGTCTTTGAATTGGACTGAGACTGTTGTGGAAAGTGGGGCAGGTGTGTATAGGTAGGGCTCATGAGTGGTGTTTGCTCCTTGTGTGCGACTGACCCAGTCTCCCCCCCGACGTCTCCGTGACACCTGTGCTGCTGGGAAACGTGTCGCTTTGTCACGCCGTGATTGCGAGGGACAGGCTGCCACCCACCGCCTGTGATGTGGACGTGACTAAAACACCCCCCACCCCCCCCCCCCCCCCCCCCCCCCCCCCCCCCACCCCCCCCCCCCCCCCCCCCCCCCCCTCTCCCCCACAAAGACACGTAGCTCTTTTGACGTT